TGCCTCCTTGTTTGCTATTTATTTTTTCATTTATCAATATGATCACACTATAGAGGAACAGTGAGAAGACTTTGTATCCGTTAGGGCTCTTCAAATCTGAAATAATACATTACTTGTTATTTCTTCATTTATCATTTTTAATTAACAACGTAAAAATATTTTTATGATTATAATTGTAATGCTTATAAATATAGTCCATAACTTAAAAATGAAAATGTACCGTGAAGATGACAATCTATCCAACTTTAAGGGAGATAGACAATTATTATGCGTATTGATTTAAGAAGAATATTTATTATAATACTTTTCACTTGCCTAAATGATAATTGTTTAATGATATTATCAAAGTAATGCAACTAATATAGTATACTGATGGTACTTTTATTTAGTTTTTTAAGAAAATATTTTAACTAGACATGAAAAACTAAGGGTACAGCCCATCGTGGATGATCAAGACAATATGAGGTTTCATCATGGCTTCCAGGCTCATGTGTTCTGGGTTATATAAAAAAAAAAAGTAATGGTGAAGATGGAAAGTCCATATCTACTGCTTTTACTCCTCTACACTTAAAAGTAGGATTCAAAGATTTACTGTTTACTCTACAATAAAACGCTACAGTAAATTATTGCGGCAGAGACAGCAAATCTTTGGGTTCTCCTTTACGTGCATTGGAGTAAATTTACAGAATTGTTGTAGCAAGAACAATATCTTTTTAAGTATAGAGCCGTCGATATGATTTATAGCTAATTTTAAGCGTACAATAATCAAATCAAATATATTAAACCTCAGAGGGAGGCAGGTTCAAAATGCAATGCTTAAAAAACTAAGGGTCGTGCACTCGTGCTTTGCACACGGGGTACACGCCAGTGTAACATAAAAGCAAAATCTCAAAATCACTATTTATTCTATAGTAAATATTATTTTTAGTACATAGCAATTCAGAATATTAAAAATCATTATTCATGCTACAGTTCTGTGAGTTGTTTTTCCTCTCTGACACTCTTCATGCTATAGTATAATATCAGAATTTAAACATAATCCATACGCTGAAGTGAGTTATTTTGGCCCTTTATCCTCTATTTAAGTTGAAGTAACATTTTTGACCCCGAAAATACTGCGCATATCTTCTTTAGCATTATTATTTTTGTTCTTTACAGATCATAATCTTCATCAGACATTTCCCAAATATAATATTACATAGAAAATCGATAAAACTTAATGATTGACGCGCATTGTTTTATTAACTTGTTTCAAAGTCTACGCTTGTGAATGTTGCGTGTCGTGCGGAAGCGTGCTCGACAACCAAACGAGTCGGTGAGCGATGAGAGAAGAAAACTAAAACCAAACACGAGTACAATTCACAAAATAACGACCAAAATCACACACAAACACAGGAATTTACGTGGTTTGGCAATTGCCTACGTCCACGGGGAGAGGATGGGGAGATTTCACTATATGGAGGAGAAATATGACGGGTTACAACTCACAAAATCACTCAAATATAACCCTAACCAAAGCTCTCAACTCCCTCACAATATCTCCCTCTCAAAGTGCTCAAAACAGCGCTAATTCTCTACTTTTAAAATCCTAAAAAAACGTGGTTCTATTTATAACAAAACACAATCCCAAATAGATTAGGATTCTAAAAACGAGTCTGTCACACCCTGGTATGACACACACCACACCCATGACAAACATGACAGATTATGCCACACCAGGGTGTAGCAGACACCACACCCATGGCAGACAGCGCAGATTCTACCACACCCATGGCAGACACCACACCGGGGTGTGGTGGAGTCTGTTTTGCTTTATTCTTCACGTTTTTCTCAATTCATTCGTCGTTTTCACAGTGAATAGTAATGAAAAATTATCGTAAATTTTTTTAGCAATAGTTCTACATAAAACCCATATTATTATGCATTTAAACCCGCTTTTTATAGTATATATGATTATATATATATATATATATATATATATAGAGAGAGAGAGAGAGAGAGAGAGAGAGAAACTTGTGCCAACTTAAATGGATAGTAAAAAATTATCCATCAAACATTTTAGCCATTGATGTTGTTTAAAGATTCATGAAAGATATGAGGAGATTTTTTATATATATAAATGGGTGGTTAAAAAGTTTGGTGGACATCTATTTAAGTTGACATAAGATCAGCTATATATATATATATAAACAACACGTGCACCAACGCACGGGCTTTATCACTACTGTAATTGATTTGCACACACACAGGCCACTGAAGGGTAAGGTCACGATGATGCGCTACCGACTGAAAAGAAAGTTGATGATTGAACATCTGGAGGCCACTTGGTTTCAGTACTCGCTCACTCATTGCGCCGAGAAATTTGAAATAGTGTTTCTTTTTAGAGAGAGAGAGAGAGAGAGAGAGAGAGAGCTCTGAGAGAGAGAGAGAGAGAGAGAGGCCAATTGAGTTAATTTCTACCACCTGTCACTTTTTGGGAGAGAATCCAATGGAGCTCTCTTCCGACCCACCACCTAACTAGTTCCCCCCTTGTCATCATCGTCTCGACTTGCGTTGTTGATTTCTCATCTCAACATCTCGCGAACTCGAACTTTTAATTGAGATGAATGCGAATCAGTTCTTTAAATATTTTTTATGTTTATTCTTAAACCGAGATAAATCGATTCGCTGTCTGTATATTCTGAAGAGAGAAAATCAATATGTACTTATTTTAATCTAATGTTGTTGTTGCTAGATAGAGATTGAGAGTGGATTAATATTCTTTATTAATGTTCTTCAGACCGCTGGTCTCTGAACAGAGAACCTACCAGCCCTGCACGTGAACAACACGGGAGAGGGTCGGAGTCTGGATCTCCTGTGGTTTCTCCGATGATCAAGTCAGTGCTCAGCTTGAGTGGGGAAGAAAAGAGAATGTGCGATGTATTCTGGCTAGAAGTTGCTTACCCTATGCAGTAGACAACAATTTTCCTTTATAGTAGATCCAATTGGCAGATGCGTAACTTCAGCCGAGCCCAATCAGGCGGCTCAGTCGGTAGCTATTTTACGGGTATCGGCTGCAGAGAGGGGTGAGTCACCTAGGCGTATAATGTGATGGTGACGAGGTCTGCATAGTGCTGATGAAATCCGATGAGTCATAAAGACTTTCAGTATGGAGCAATGATGATTCTAATTACGCATTCAATGTGATGGCAATTGTCTATCGGCGAGGCGCTCGATTGATAAAACAGCATCTCTGTTCTCGGATCTTCGTCTCTACGAGAGGGTCGACAAATGACGTCATAGAGACACTTTGGTCTGTGCGATCAGGACTGATAGTATCCTAAGACTATGTGTACTTTTTCTTGGCTTCAAAATGTTCTTGACCCGGCTATAGAATGATAATAGTTGGGGTTGCGGCTTGAAAGCGGGAGAAGATGCTCTCGAGTAGGAACGTCTTACGACTCGGCCATTCTTAGGAAGGATCGGGTGTCGAACCCATTCGAGTCGTCCTATCTAGGGCGAGACTCATCTGGTGTTGAGTTAATATGAGACAAGTGTCGGCTCCTCATAGAGGATTAACACTTAATCATTTATATGATATAACAACAATATGTATTTATTTTGATGTAGTAATTTACAGGGAATTCAGCATTTTGAATTATTTTCAAAATTATACATACATACATACATATATATATATAATTTTATTTATATATATAATTAGTTATATGTCATATTTCACACACACTTATTTCTGCAATCTTGGTTTTGTTATGGTCTAAGCAGAAAAGGAATTTCACTCTACAAGAAAATAATATTCATTTCAACAGAAGGAAGGGAATTAAAAAATAAAATCGAGAATAAAAAGATTTTCAACGCAGATTATAAAAATAGTTTTTTTATAAGGGGGGAAAAGGCCTCTCTCTAGTCCACAGATCTTAGTGATACATGAGGAGATCCAAATATCTCCTCCTCTATACAAATGGGAGAACCCGATATCGCTATTTATGCTAAAGTAATGCTACAGTAGCATTAAATGTAGCAAACAAGAAAGGGTCAATGTAGCATTTTTTTAAAACACAACCGTAGCACACGAGAACACTGTAGCTTTTTTTTTTCCAAAAAATACTGTAGTAGAGGAGAGAACTGTAACAACACAATTTTTTTTAAAAATATTACTGTAGCATTTAAAAATCAGGATTACTATAGTTGAAAAAAATGATATGTCGTGTTTTACATGGTGTTCATGACTAGTATCAGACAATAGCAAAGTCACCTCCCAATAGCACTTTATCCTAACTAACTATTAACGAGACATAATACACAATTAGGGGATGTTTGGTTGTATGTTTTTACCATGTAAAAGGATGGAAAGTGAAAAAAGTAAGTCCCAATGTCAGCTTTCATCACTTTACATTGTTTGTTTAAATTATCATTTACATGAAAAGCTTACATCTTTTGATGGGGTATCACCGAAAGCAAAATCACCAAAATTAGGAGTGATTTTGTTGGAAAGCTGACACAATGTCATAAATGTGTCCAAAAACTAATAAAAAAATCAAAACCTTGTAGAAAGTGGTGAGGTGGATAACCACTTTCCATTTTGTGTCATAAATACTTTAGTTTACATTATACTATCCAAACAATGTAATACTATTATTTTAGGATTCACAAAGATTCCTAATCAAACAATGTAAGTACTCGAATGAAAAGTTATGAGGTGGATAACTACTTTTTATTTTGTGTCATAATTACTCTGGTTTCCTAAAGTCATCCAGCCCCCCTTAGGATTAGGATTAGGAGGAGTCAAACGAGACGGTCGGGAAGGAAAGGAAGGACAAACTCGTCATTTATCATCATCTCATCACCTTTCAAAATCTCCTCAAAATATCTCGATACATTAAAACCCCCAATATAAACCTCCCCCTTTCTCTCTTCTTCCTCCCTCGTTCTCCTCTCTCTCTCTCTCTAAAACTTTCTCTCTCTAGAATCACCCCCAAACCCTAGACAGAGGAAACAAAATGGGCAGGTACATGAGAAAGGCAAAGAGCGGCGAGGTCGCCGTGGAGGTCAACAGCAGCAGCAGCAGCAGC